CGTCTCTCCATCATTAGTTGTTGTGTTTCTGGGGATATTTTTGGATTTCTGGCAACTTTTAATCTTGATGCGGTCTTCCTGGTACTATTTATAATCTGGGAGGTTGTTTGTTGTACCAGATTATCCAATGACAGGTCTTCCGCGTTTCGCATATTGGATAATCTTCTATTTAGGTCGATTTGGTAGTTAGAGGTATTTTGGTTGGTCAGATTTAGGTGTTGCCTTTTCTACTTCACTAAAACGTCTAAATATAAATGCTGATAAGGATTAAAAATAAAAACTAAACAAAAATATATGCATGCATGTGGTCTTCTTCATTTGTATATCTGCTTGCATTCCGCTTACAAAAAAAGTCCATATACAGTGAGTCTAAAATATGTATTTTGGGCAAAAATTTAGCTTCTAGAAACCATAGTGTATCGGGCGGAAAATTTTAGTCAAACACATTTAATGCGCTGTCCCAAGTTCGAGACTCATCATTAGCATCTCGCAAACTAGAAGAGATACGAGGTCATTTAAATAGAAGCAAAGTTGTGAAATGCTGATCAAAACAAAAATCAAAACGCTTTATTATGGTAATAGAATTTCATTTTCTTTCTTCCGATATATTGTTATTGATAGAATTTTAATTAAAATCAGTTTTTTTGCTGTTTGAAAATGTTAAAGAAGCACAATTTTTTTTTACAAGCGTTTCAGTTTGCTTCTTAATTAATATTAATGCCTAACTTTGCCCTAATTTATACCGTTAATATATAATACCCTGTATAAAAATTAAAAAAAAAATTCAATTTCACAGACGTGATTTGTAACAAAATCCATTATCAAGTAAATTGAAAATTGTCGAGACGCATGAATATAAATCCAATTTTACTGTCTGAATTTTTTGTTTATTTTCTGCTTTTGTTCTTTATGTATTAAGCTTAAAAACTGAAATCGGAAAATCTTTTTTTTGTTCGTTATAAAGAAGATGAGCTTTGGGAAAATTGAAAATTGTAATTTCGGTTTGGAGTGCCTAAAGTGCTTTGTATTGGTGCTTGTTAAATAATAATAAAATTGGGAAATATGAAAGACTAGCGTGTACCAGCGATTTCGTTCGCGTCGAATTAATCATTTGTAATGATGATGATAAAGCAAAGCAAGAATTTCCATTAACATACAAACTGGATAAAATTTTCTCACATTTATGTCAGCATGAGAAAAAACAATATGGCGATATTATTATATAACTTGGTAATATTTGAGGGATAGTTTCATCTCGTTGGAATTTGACTTTCGAAAAATCCGTTTGCCAAAACTAAGCTTTTTACGTCAAGCAGTTTAAGCAGAATCGTGGTTAAGAAATTACCCAACTTTTTGGAATACCCTGTATGATTTTTTAAAAAATGTCAAAATATGTAAAAAAACCAAATAAATTATGCTTATCCAAGCGTTTTCCCGAAAGACTAACCGTTTTTTAAATAACAAATATTGTAATATTTGGGGGGCATTTTCACCCTCTTGGAATTTGAGATTTGAGAAACCCCTCCTTATCGAACCTCTACACCCCACAGTCAATCCGTTTGCCAAAAATCAGCTTTAAACGTCAAGCAGTTTAAGCAGAATAATGATTACTCAACGGTCATATTTTATGAAACACCCGGTATAAATTTATAATAAATCTTAAAATATGTAAAACAACAAAATAAAATATACGTGTTTAAGAGTTTTTCCGGAAAAACTCACCGGTTTTTAAATAATTTTTTTTTTTATATTTGAGGGATAGTTTCACCCTCTTAGAATTCGAGTTTCGAAAAATCCCTTCTTATCGAACCTCTACACCCTAAAGTAAATCTGTTTTCCAAAAATCAGCTTTTTACGTTAGCGCTTTTTTAAGCAGGATCGTGATTAATCAATGACCAGATTTTTCGAAACATCCTGTATACATTTTTAAAAATCTTAAAATATGTATAAAAACAAAATAAAATATACGTGTTTAAGCGTTTTTTCGGAAACTTGACCGTTTTTAAATAAATAAAAAATATTGTAATATTTTAGTGGTGGTTTCACCCTCTTGGAACTGGAATTTCGAAGAATCCCTTCTTATCGAACCTCTACACCCTAGAATCAACCTGTATGCCAAAATTGAGCTTCTTACGTTGAGTGGTTTGAGCAGGATCGTGATTAATCAGTATGTCAGTCACTTAAGGATTTTATATATTAGTATAGATAGATTTGATTTATTAAGTAAAATAAATAAAGTATTTAATTTAATAAAAAATAATTCTTATTTTTATTTTATTTATTTTTTGAAGATTTTAAAACTGCATTTCTTAATTTTTTGGACGTTCTAATAACTAGTAACTAGTAAGTAACTACTTTCTTGAAAAAACAAATTTAGGTATACTGTAATACAAAATACATTTTTCTACAATCGTGCAAAAAGTTACTATTTTTTACACTATCTACTGTTTTAAAAGTCAAATTTTTACACTATATAAATCAAGTGAAAGTACTGCAGCAAAGTTCTGGAAACAAAAATTAAGTGACGAAAATTCAAAAGACTACTGGAAATGAAGTTTGTCCATCAATTAGTACCTTAGTAAATTTAGCAAATTGCGACATTAAAATTAAAATGAACTCAAAAAAAGTCATTAAAAAACGAAAGTGTCATTGTTAGTGGTAATATTATTCTGTGAATTATTGTAAACACTTTTTAATAAACATTTAAATAAGAATTTCAATTCGATCGTAGAAAAAATGTTGTGTGCAACATGTGCACAAAGCATATTTGTTGCACTCAGCATGATTGCAGCTCTCGACTTGGTCTCGGGCTGTAAAACTCATGCGTCGTGCAACAAATATGTCCTTTTTGTACTAGTTACACAAATAACTATTTTCTACGATCGTTCAAAAAGTAGCTATTTTTACACTACTGTATTAAAAGTCTTTTAATATTTTCCTAAAATTATACAGAGACTGGCATGTATCTGCATCACAGGTGCCATGAGAACATGTCCAACAGCAGCAATGGAGGTCATTCTAGACCTAACACCACTGCATATTGTCGTCGGTAGTTATGCCAATGCGACAATGATTAGAATGGTCATTGACGGAAACAGTACTGGGAGAATTTTCAGGTCAGGGGCTTGGAACACCCTCAAAAAGAAAATTCCACTTCTCCAACTCCCAGTGGATGACATACCAAGAATTTACAACTTTGAGAAACACCTCACTGTAGTATTGAGTAATAAACAGGATTGGAAGAAAGAAACGCTTACTCAGCATATAAAAGACCATACCATCACGTGGTATACTGATGCTTCCAAAACCAAAGCAGGGACAGGGATAGGAGTATTTGGGCCGAAAACTGAATACTCCGAACCAATGGGCACCTACCCCAGTATCCTTCAGGCAGAAATTTGCGCTATCGAAAGATGCGTACAATTTATCTTGGATAGGAACTATCGAAAACAGGAAATTGCCATCCTATCCGATAGTCAAGCAGCACTTAACGCGATCAACTCAGTAACCATCAATTCGAAGTTGGTCAAAAAATGCCTAGAGAAGCTCAACAAATTAGGCAAAGAAAATAAAGTCCTCCTACTCTGGGTGCCTGCTCACCAAGGGATAGAAGGCAATGAAAAAGCAAATGATCTAGCTAGAACAGTTCTGTTTTTCCAAACGGGAACCAACTGAAAGCGGAACTGAAGAATCTGGAAGACTCCATCCGTAACTTGGAATGGGTGTCCTCCAAAGGTCTAAGACACTCGAAAAAGTTCCTTAGAACTTATGACCGAGAAAAATCAAAGGTTTTCCTTGATTTAAGTAAAAACAATCTTCGGATTGTCACGGGGTTTCTAACAGGACACTGTCTCCTCAACGAACACCTCAGTAGGCTGAAACTGAGAAACAACGGCGAATGCAGATTTTGTGGGGAAAATGGGGAAACACCAGAACACCTTATCACTGAGTGCGCCGAGACGACGACCATTCGTGCCATGAACCTTGGCACGTCTGATGTCGAGGATGGAGAGCTGGCCTCTGTGGAGCCGTCTCAGATACTGGCTTTTCTTAAAGCCCTGAGACTGTATGATGAGTTATAACTCGTTATAACTCAAGAAAGGGGAACACACAATAGATCTATAAGGTCGCGGTGATTAACTCCCCTTCTAAACATTCTACATTCCTAAAATTATTTGTGGCGTTTGATAAAAATAGCATGTTCTATTCAGAGTAAAAAATACTTTTACTGCTTTTACTGCCTGATGTAAAACATAAAGTACGTCTACTGTATCTGTATATGCGTATGAAAGAAATGCCGAAAAAAAACATTTAAATAAACAGCAATATATTTTATAAATCGCTACCTAAGCCGCAGAAATGTCACCGCAAAACACTCCACCCACTCATTTCATTGGCTACTTGCAAATTTGTCGATTTTTTTTTGATGGGACGCGACGTCTGATTTTTTACGAGAAACATCGATAGAATATCGTTTCCCCCCTTACGGATGCCCCGTAGCTACAGAACGCATAGACGAACTGTACAGGCTTGCCACAAAAAGTGTCATTTTTACACCTAATAAAACAATATACTTTTATGCTTTACTGCATTGAGTATAAAGCATTGAGAAGAAGAAGTATCGGGCTTAATGAAAACACGAATTTATTGTAAGTAACCACAAAAGTACATTTTGTACTTTAGAGCATCAACTGGACAATATAATTCTTGTTAAAACTTTCTCTCTATATTTATAAGCTCTAAACAACATGTACATTCTATAAAGAGTAACTAGCATGTTGGAAACACGAATAAGTAAACACAAAAGTACATGAAATGTTTTAGAGCATCTACTGAATAATATCATTGATTATAAAACATTTTATCTAAATTTAAAGACAATAAACAACATCTAGACCCCAGATGAAGTAACCACCTCATAAACACGAATTTAGGCAGTGTTATCCTTTTCTACATCAACTAACATCATCCTCCTTATCCTAGACACCAAACCAACTTACCGGCCCCATATTAACGAACCCATGTCTCTCGGCCACCAGATGAGCCTCGGACGGCTCCAAGTCCCTCTTGAACCTGACCAGGAACGAGTTGCTGAACAGGTCGGCGCTGGACGGTGAGCCCAAAGCGATGAGCGCGATCGCGAGCCACGACAACAACCACCGAACGGTGAGCCTCGTCCTAGGTGAGGCTGAAAGAGGCATGTCGTACCGTGCGGAACGACGACTGAGGATCGTCGACGGCAGCGTCGGGGGGCGACGCGACGCCAGGCGTCGACCCCGGCGCGCACCTCTGACGTCACGGGCATCGATTGGGCGCGATGTGGGGTTAGGGGAGGGGCGGAGGGACGGGGGAGGTGGATGGATGGATGGTTGTGGGACAAGGGAACGGTGGTGGGGAGCGTATGAATGGAGCGAAGTGACGTTGGGAGGTGAGAGGGGTGGATAAAGGAGAATGATATACAGGGAGAGAGAAGAAAAATATTAAAGTACAAAGTTTTATATATAATTACCGTCAATCAATCCTAATTTATGTCATATACAGGGTTGTTCATCACATACGACGCGGAGTATTGTAGCTAAACTATTCGATTTTTGCAAATTGTAAGTTTTGGGTTCGTTGAAGGACTATTAGAGCTACAATTTAAAAATATTCTTACAAAACACAGATTGTTCCAAATAAATAAAAAAATATCAAAGTTGTATTTTATAAACGGAACACCCTGTATATTATTACATTTTCAGTTTCTACGATTCAAATAAAATTTACGGTATTTTAATCTTACCGTTTTTGAAATATTTAGGTTGTTTTTTGTTTACAAAAGTCAAAATACAGTAATAATTTTAATGCTTTATTTCTCTAGGCGTATTTAAGTTTTTAAAACCAAATATTGTACTGAAATAATTTATTATTTACTAAATTTTGTGTTGCAATAATAAAAATCATATTACTTTATACATAGTGTCTAAAAAGTTATTTTAAATAATAACTAGATTTAAACGGCAATAACTTCTTTGATTTAAATGGAACACCCTGTATATTTTATGAGAATCAGATGCACAATTTAATTGTCTATCAAATTATATTATATCATTTCTTACCTATGTCTTCAGGTTTTCGTAGAAAATGCATTTTCTTATAATTTAGACTTCAATTATCAATATAGCCATGGAATATTGACATTTTAGGTTATTTTTAAAGATGTAACAAATTTTTAAAGGGTACAAATACTAATATTGTCGATATAGTTCGTTTATGTCATTAAAAAATAAAAAAAAATTGTTTAAATATTTGTAAAAAAGGACCAATTAATATGATTCGAGTATTCAAACTGCATTAATTGACTGTTTGCGTTGATTAATAATAATTGCTCCAAATACTAAAAAATTGAATTTTGTATGTGTATTAGATAGTGTGGTAAAAAATAACACCTTAAAAATTTTATATCATTTTTTGACGAATGCTTATTTATAACAACAGAGACGTTCATTTTCATAACTTATTATTATATTGATTTCTGATTCCAAATCCATATTTATTTAGAATAATTTATTAACTAACACAATTAAATATGTAATTAATTAATATTTGGACGGAAATAATGGTCGTATATTTAATTAATGGTATACTCTTTTATAAAGATTTAAACAGTTTTATTTTTGTATACAAATAGGCTGGTAAAATTATTGCTTTTAGCACCTGTACATTTTGTACATCTATTGCTTTAAAAACAATCTAAAATGTTAATATTCCATGGGTATATTGATAAATGAGGTCTAAATTATAAGAAAATGCATTTTCTACGAAAAAAAAAGCAAGGTAAAAAATGGTATAATACAATTTGATGGACAATTAAATTGTGCATTTGATTCTCATAAATAAAATTTTAGACACCCTGTATGAGGTAGTATTATTTCTATTATTGCAACACAATAATTGATCAATAATTAAACTTCAGTAAATATTTAGTATTAAAAACTTTGATACCCTTGGAGAAATGAAGCCTTAACATTTTTACTGCAATTTCACAAAACTGAAAATATTTCAAAAACGGTAAGATTAAGTGTGATAAATTGTAGCTCTAATACTCCTTTAACGAACCCAAAACTTACAATTTGTAAAAATATATATTATAGTGCAAATCATTTTTTAAATAAATGTTTGCGCATTTTTTGCTAGACGCACGATATAACACTTTTTTTCCTATTTCCTAAAAAGTCAGAGCTTTTGACTGTAAGGGTTTTGAAGTTAGAGGGTGGATTTTATTAGACTAGGCAGCAACTCACAAAATGAAATAACTTTGAGAAAGCTCCGACTCCCGGCTTAACCCAGCTTTAACTTTTGTTCTACAACTTTCTGATTATTTTTTTTTGTTGCAGAACTCTACTTAAATCCGGATCATGGGCAGAAAGTTGGTAACTTTGGCCTTGTTGAGTCTGACTTTGCAAGCCATAGCCGCAAGTAAGTGATATGTTTGTCAGTTAACACAATGCAGTAGCAAAGCCTAATTTCGGGACAACTTTCGTTTAGCTGAAATCAGTTATTACAAAATAAAATTGTCTTTAAAAAGCTACTGTGAACCACGGAAAACACAAATTTTCTTGCGGAAATGCGTAATTTCCAAATTTCGCACTTTGGAATAACTGAAATCTGCTATAAAAAAAATACATTTTGCGTTTTATTTTTGATATATTTCTGAACATATAAACACAAAAATTTTCCTGCGGAAATAAGCTGTTTTCATTTTCTAATGAAATTTATTAGACTTTAGAATAGCTGAAATCAGTTATATAAAAAATAAATATATTTTTGCCTTTTAGAAGCATTCACGAATTGAGGAAAATAAAAATTTTCCTGCGGAAATAAACTGTATCCATTTTCTGAGGAAATTTATTAGACTTTAGAATAGCTGAAATCAGTTATATAAAAAATAAATATATTTTTGCCTTTTAGAAGCATTCACGAATTGAGGAAAATAAAAATTTTCCTGCGGAAATAAACTGTATCCATTTTCTGAGGAAATTTATTAGACTTTAGAATAGCTGAAATCAGTTATATAAAAAATAAATTTATTTTTGCCATTTAGAAGCGTTTACACACTCAGGAAAATAAAAAATTTCCTGCGGAAATGCTTGATTTTCATTTTCCATTCTTGTAACCATAAATACATAAAAAAATTATCTTTTTATCACTTTTGAACCAAAAAAAAAATCATTTAAAAGTATCTAAAATGCTAACCAATCTAATAATAAATCAAATAATATTTTTACAGAATCACAGTTAATTATTAAAATATGAAAACCGCAGCTTAACACCCTCCACAAAGAAAAGCTAACGAAAGCAACCCAAATGCTAACCAATCTAATATTTTTGCAAAATCACAGTTAATTATTAAAATATAAAAGGAAACTGCATGATCCAATGATTTTTTTGTTTTGAATCAGCCCTATTTATATAAAGCTTTAATAAAAAACAAGAATAAGAGCAGCATTCCGAGGTACTTATAGTTTACAAGAACCTATATTATCTATTCTACAAGAATTGTTATTCCTCCAAAAGATGTTTTACCCCACCCAGCACCCCTATTCGGTCCCGGGTCCCGTAAGCTTCTAAACTGAAAAATGTATGAAAAACAAAGTGCACAAAATGACATTGACACATTTCCGCAGGAATTTTTTTGTATTTCTTTGCTCTTAAAGGCTCGTATTAAACAAATATAAGTTCATTTTTCATGTAACCGATTTCGGTTATTCTAAAGTCAAAGAATTTTTTTATGTAAAATAAAAATAAAAAATTTCCGCAGACACTTTTTTGTGTTTTTATGTTTAGAAAAATGTCTAAAACACACCCCGAAGACTAGTTTTGATGTAACAGATTTCGGCTATACTAAAGTCCGGAAAATGAAAATGACGCATTTCCGCAGGAAAATTTTTGTATATATATTTGTATTCCTAACGCCTTCTAGAACGCATATATAAGGTCATTTTTTATAAAACAGATTTCAGCTAAACGAAAGTTGAGCCCTAATTTCTCATAATTTAAAAATATCTTTCTTTGATTTTTTCTTTAGCGATGACCTATGTAGATGTGGATTATTTTTTATCGCTTTCACCCAATAAATACTAAATCCAATTAATCCGCTCGTGTTTGCAGCCCAAACGAAATAAAAAAGACAAAAATATCGGTGATCGGATTAATTTGCCGACCTACTATTTAGTTGAGTTTATTATCAATAATTTAAAAAGAAAAAAAATTAATCGCACGTGCCTACGAATAGGTATATTTAGACATAATATTATAATTCCCGTCTACATATAATGTTTTTAGAATTATTTACAAAATAATTATTTTATTTTCGAATTTGACTCAAAATACCAAGTACCAAATTATTCGTCAAAAATGTGCTTATTGAACACCCTGTATTTTATTTAATTTTTGGATTCTTTCTATGTAGTTTTATAATATTATTTAATATATAATTAACTAAGTACCTACAGGGTGACAATTTGAAAAGGAACAGTATATTTAATATTGCATATCAAGGGGGACAATTTTTGAAGCATTTGTTGTCGTGTTCCTTTCAACCCCTTGACCCCCAGGGCACCTACCCCTGAAATTTTAAATAGCAACCCCTATTTCTTTTACCATTATTGTGTTTCTTATAGAATTCTACATAAACTGCATTATTTTTTTGAGAATTTTATAAGGAACACAAAAATGGTAAAAGAAATATAGGTTGCCATTTAAAATTTTAGGGTTAGGTGCCCTGGGGGTCAAAGGGTTGATAGTAACACGACAACAGATGCCTCAAAAATTGTCCCCCTTGATATAGAAATTGACGTATTTCGCCAAATTTTCATACTATCATCGGTAGAGGTAATATTAAATACTGGTTAGTTTTCAAATTGTCACCCTGTATGTTTCTACTATATTCTGGAAGAAACCTGTAGTTGGAAGTGAAGAAAATGAATTTGCCTTAATTGGTTCATTTATAGAAAATCTAATATATCTACCAGTCATCGTAATATAAATCAAAGAAATACATATCTATTTTTTTCTTGATAAAATAATACCTAAAATACTTTTACTTATTAAACTATTGTAGGTAAATTAAATAAAAGTTTACTGTTATAAATTTAAATAAAGTCCATCAAGTAATGTCGATTTTGAAAACAGCTACTAACTGTCACTAGCAAATTGCCATGGCGACACCAGCCATCTTGGTTGCCATTTTCTTGAGAAAT